GAATATCCTCATACTCTTTGAAGGCTTCCAAGTGTGACTTTAGATGAACTGAATCAGCCTTTTTATGCAGAATAAAAACCTTATAATTTAAAAGAAATTAAAACTTTTTAAAAATAAAATGGAAAAAAAACCTTAATTTGTATTATGTAACAAATTTATATTAATTTTTGTGTGGGATTACCGCAAATAGAACAAAATTTGGTTTCAACATTTGACCTATAAAACTTAGTAATCTCACTTTAAAGGAGATTAAAGATACGTTGCTACTATTTCAAATTCTGTGTATGTTTAACTTTTTTAAAATTTATTTAACCAGAATAATAAAAATTTACAAATTTTCATCGTAAGATTACAGAAATTGGTTAGGTGTCACTTATATAGTTACAAACTAGTCAATGGAGTGACACATAAAAAACATAAAGTTCTCAACAACAAAAAAGAAAGAAAAGCAAATGAAATATAAATGGGGAGAATAAAAAAAGAAACAAAAAGTCAACAAAAACTAGATAAATTAGAAGAAAAAGAAAAACAATGATATTATCCTTGCTCTTTTATTAATATTATGAATACTTCTAAATTGAATTTATATATTAAACATGTAAACTTATATTCTGGTTTCTTCTTATGATATTATGAAGACTTTTAAATTTTATTTAAAATAAATTAAAGGTTAAAGCTTTGATTATTTTGAGCTCTTATATTTATCATCAAAATTTATTTAAATTAAATAAACAATTTTAATCAAATAAATATCAGCCTGCTCAGTCCCTGTTTATTTATAAATATAAAGTAAATAATAATATAATTATTAATAAAAAATTTATAAAGTATTCTACTGAGTTGTTAGATTACTATAGAAGTTTTTATCACAGATAGTTAATATTTGATTTCAGATACTGATGCAGATTCATCCATTACAGAGACAGAAGAAGATAAATATATTATGATTTCAGAGTGTAAAAGATTAATAGAAGCTTAGAAAATGTTATGTAGTGTAAAGTTAAAAATAATTAAAAAAAAACAACTTAAAAGTGTGTAAAAAAGAAGTTAGAGAGAAATCTATCAATTGTACTTTTTTTTAGCAGCAGGTTCACAAAAGTTGTAGTGGAATACAAAATGGTTTTAACTTGGGTTTTTTTTTAGTTTAGAAATTGTTCGTTTAATGAATACAGAGAAGTAAAAAAAAGATATTGAAATAAATAGCAATAAAAAGATAAAGTGTGTTTTTAAGATTTTTTATGTTAAAGATACAACTAGATCAGTTAAGAGTATTTATTTAGAGAAAGAGTGTTCAAGTTTAAAAGATAAATTTACTTGAGTAATATTCAGAGATTTTTATCCACTCTTAACAAAAGATGCATTAAAAATAAAAATAAAATATACAGCACATGAAAAGATGCGTAACAGTAATTTATGGGGAATAAAATTTGAGGATGTCCAGCTAGCACACGATAATTAGATAGAGCAAACAAGATGATTAAATAGAGGATTAAAAACTAGATGATTAGATAGAGTATTAAAGAGAAAGATGTTTACATAGAAGAACAGTGTGGCTATAAAAGATCAAAAAAATAGCAATAATCTTAGAAGAATATTGGAAATAGTTGGAAATATATGTGAGTTACTGATATTGTGCACTATATAACATTAATATGGTTTGCACACAGAAAAGGTAGAACTAGAAGTAGGAAAATTTTGGGAAAATGTTTCAAAAAAGCTTAAGTTTTAAAAAAAAAACACTAGGTGCGGTAAAGTATCAGAAACGACATAATGAGAAACTTTCAAACAGGGGCGCTGAGAGCTTTTGTCCTGCCTGGGGCAGCAACTCTGACCTCATTTTTATACATTTTTTCTATATTATTAGTCAAGGATCTTAGTTTTGGTACCTTTTTTGTTTTACACCCCTGCTGATCTGAATGCTGATTAAATTTTAAGCGTATATAGTGCCAGAGCTTCAGCTTCGGCAAAGAAGCTTCGGCCAAAGCTTCGGCTTCGGCCAAATTTTAGCTTCGGTACATCCCTAGTATTTGGGGCAAATAGAAAAACACATTGCGAACCTCTCTTACGTCAGCTTGGAGTTTTAAATATTTATAAGCCTAATATTCATAAAGTAATGTTATTTATGTTTAAAGCAAAACTTGGGTTTTCTACAGTAACATTTCAATCCTACTTTAATGAAATCTCCCATAATTATCCAACCAAATTTTACATAAATTAAGTTCGTACGAAAGTCAATATCGGGACCTTTAGTTTGTAAAAAATTTCTTCCAATCTTTAATAAGAAACAAAACTATCAAATACCTTTTTTAAAAAAAAATTTAAAGGTTTAAACTAAACCACTTAAAAATAAATTAAATCTTTAACACTTTCTTTAGCTTTTATTAAAATGGTTTCAAACTAATTAGTCTTTTTCGTTCATATTTTTGATGATATTAAATAATCAGCCCAAATACTTATGTTTACATATCGTGACGTTAGAATTATCTTGTTCTATCTCCACATTTTTTAGTTTTGAGATAAAACGATTTAAAAAACAAAAACTTTAGAAGACAGCGTATAATTTTTTTTTATAACTTATGTTTTTTCCGCACCTTTTTTACTTATAACTTAGGTTTCAATTCAGTAGAAAGACATTATTTTGAGGAACACAACACCATCATTGACTTAATTTTTTCAGAAAGTGGAGATAGAACAAGATAATTCTAACGTCGCGATATATTGCTTTTTTTTGTTAAACAACGCATTTTTTTGTGTGTGTTTTTATAACTTTCATGATTTTCTGTCGTTTTTACTTTTTTATTTTTAAAATTATTCTGCTGGAAGATTGTTAGCAACAAATTATTTTATTGCTGAAGTTTTTTTGTTTTTGTATTTATACTGTCTTTTTGTCTTTTATCATTTATTGTGCATGTAAATTTTTGTGTGACGGGGCTCGGCGATAAGACAACCTGTCTTCTTCTTGCTCCGGCCAGGATTTTTTAAATTTTTTAAATTTTTAAAATTTTTTTTTTATGTTAATTTAGGTGCCCCAAGAAGTCTTTACGGTCTTATCACAGAGCACCGCGGAAGAGCATTTTAATAGGAAGTTCACGCCTCCTTCCCAACCGATGTCGCAAAACTTGTCCAGAGGTGGGGTTTGAACCACGGATCTTACGTTTCTGAAACAAGTGCGCTACCACTGCGCCACGGCTGCTCAATTTCTTTTTTGTAATATTTATTAACGGCAAAATAAATAACTAAAAAAATCTTTGGATCAACCAAAGGGGCGCCAAAGTTTTGACCCCTGTTTAAATCCAAATATTTTTTAAAGAGTAGTTTTATGATATTTCACACTAACTTTTATGTCATATCTTTTTGGATTAGTTAGAACCATACCGAAGTAATATGGTTCTAAAAAATCCAAAAAGGTATGACACAACCTTATGTCATTTTATCAAACTAAAATCTGGTTCAGCATGGCTGTGATAAGATATTTATATATATTATAATTAAAATTCATCTTTACCCTAACTACTTATTTCTATTAATTCATGAGTTTTTTTTTTTGTTATCCCCAAAATGTTTTGAAATCTTCTTTTCCAAAAATTTATAAATTTTCTTTGGCTGTTTGTTCCATAAGACCTTGTAATTTCGAAATTTAGAAATCCAGGTTTGAAACGTGCTCTGGACATAATTTTGCGCCACTTTAAGGATGGAGGCGCGAACTTCCTGGTTAAAATCATTTCCGCGGTGCTCTGTGACAAGACTGCTAGGTCTTCTTGGGGCATCTAAATAACAAAAAAAAAAAAAAAAAAAAAAAAAAAATTAAATTTAGTATTTGTTTCAGTAATTTCTATAAATGTTATACTTCAATGAGTAACTGATGGATATTTTTAAAATTTGATTATTCTTTTTTTATTTCAGCAATAGTCCGATAATATGAAAATTTGGATGGTGCTCCTTTTTGATTATTTCATTAAAACTTTTCGAACGTTTATTATCTAAGTTTAGCGACTGAAGTTTACAAATATTTTCACAACAGGGGCAAATTTATCAAATAAAACCCTTTGACAAATTATAAATTAAAAGATATACTTTAATATCAAATTCTTTACATTTTACAAACCTAACGCTTGAGGAATTTGATATAGTTTTTAGATCTTTAAAGAAATAAATTAGTAGGGCCTGACGATAGAAAATGGAAATATTGTAATAGACTCTTATGACATCATGAAAGATGTACTTTACAAAATCTTTGAAGCATCCATTAAACAAAGATCTTTCCCAGACTCTCTAAAAATAGCAAAAGTAATTCCTATTTTTAAGACTCTGAAAATAGGAAAAGTTATTCCTATCTTGTTTTTATTTATGCTTTGGTTGAAAAATTTGGACTAACAATATCCATGGTTACCAGATTCGGAAAATTAACCATACTTAGTCCTACGGAACAGTAGAATCAGCTGGCGCTGTCGATAAATTCGGCGGAATATTATTAAACTGCCTTTTAAAATAGAATACTTTAAAAAAGAGACCAGTTTATTTAATAATTTAGTAAAGTCAAACCCATATAAAGATTATATTGTAACTTCAATCAAACTTGAATGTATTTGTCACGTGCAGATGCGCCTTTGGACAGTGCATATGCGCAATTTCAAGTCTTATAAAACACGCTTATCTGATAAAAACAAACTTACCAATAATATCTTATTATAGTCAATTCGCACTAAGAACAAAAAGTCAAATAATTTTATATGAAAGACTATTAAAAAAAATAATTCATAATTAAAATCACATTTTCATTCTCAAAAGTTTTTTTAATTTTCATTAAATTATAAGACTAATCCATTTTTCAGTGAAAATTTTTTATTAAATATAGCTCGCGCGTAAAAAACCTCTGTTTGAAAAAGAGTAGTCAAGACAAATAGTGAAAACGCAACCCCCGGCGTTATATATACTCAAGCGATTACGCAATACTTCAATTAACGAGGATTTATACAATAACGCGTATAAAAAGTTCTCAA